GGGGGGTGATTTCTCGCTTTCTGTCTCTATGTCTCTGTCTGTCTGGCGAGCGCACGCGCCCTATAGCAAAAACCTCTCCAAAAAAAAAAAAAAAAAGATACAGGGATACTTAGCCTGGAAAAGAGAAGATATGGTAGTTCTTAAATATTTTAGGCATAAATGTTAAAAAAAAAATGAAAGGACTTAATCTGAGGTATTTCAGTGGGCAGAATAATGTTTAATAAATGTTACAGAAAGCAGATTTAAGTTCAATAAAACAAAAAAATCTGACAACGAGGGTTGGAATTGTCCTCTAGTGGGATAGGTAGCCTTACAAGGTCATTGGTCTTGTTTGAACAGGGGCCTAGATGGTTGAATGTGAGTCAAGAATGCTGTAGAAGGAATTTCAGCACAGAATAGAAGGTTCAAATAACTGAAAGTCCTTTCCAGCTCTCACACAACTGTTAGTACAAGCCTTTTACTAGATTCATTTTTCATCCTGTAGGATGGTACAAAATGCATCATTAGTGGGAGAGCAGGTTTTCGTTTCCTAAACCTGTTCTAAGTGCTTCTGTTTTAGTCAAGTAGACTGATAAATTCTTCCAAAGTTAGAATGAAATAAACATGAAGTCATCCAAGGACCAGAATAACTTGTATTAACTGGGTGGAAATTTAGTCCACCTATCTCCTTAACTTACATTAACACATGATTCCTTTTTTTCTTTGACAGGGTCTCACTATGTCATGATCCTTCTGTCTCAGCCTCCTGAGTAGCTGGGACTACAGGCTTGTGCCACCATGCTAACTTTTTTAGATAGTATCTTGCTATGTTGTCCTCACTGGTTTTGAGCTCTCAAGCCTCTTGCCTCAGCCTCCTGAGCAGCTGGGACTGTCAGTACATAGTATAGTGTCTGGTGTTAAGGGTGGGCCTGGAATTGAACTCTGGCCTTCCATGTGATCTCAGCCTGCCAAGTAGCAGCACCACTCAGTGTGCTACCACAGCTGGTCCAATGCATGACCTTGAAGAGGTTCTTTCCTCAAGTTGTTATTTCCAGTCCCTGTGTGATGGTCTTTAGAGATTTGTCCAGGAAACTGGCTCACCCCAGTATAAAGGCTTGGCTTTGTTGTTGGAAAAGTGAAGAATTAAAAAGTGTTCCTGATTGCCAGAGGATGAGTACTGTACGAACACACTGGCCAACCTGGTAAAATTTTCATTATTTTTAATGAGTACTTTTTCACAAGAATATGTAGGAGAAAGAAGAGAATGCTTCCTTCTCAAGGAAAGCCTTGTCCTTGGAGGCAAGTCTGCCCTTCCTCAGGCAGGGTGATTATGAACCTAGAAGACTTTATAAATAGGAAGCTAAAGGAAACTGCACAGTTTTTAAAAATCAAAAAATAGGCAGTTAGGAATTTTAGTTAAACTTATAAATTTTTTGTTGAACTGGGCTATAAACTCCATGAGAACAGTTTTTGTTATTTTATTTATTGCTCTATTCTCAGCATTCAGCCCAGTCCCAGGCACTGAGTTAGGTACTCAGTAAACTATCTGTTCAGTGAAGTGAAGCGCCAACAGATACCCTGAGCTCCCTGTCTCAAAGATAGGAATTGGTCTGTCAAAGCCAAAATAGTAGGATAATAATATCATCCCTATATCATTAGTTTGGTGATGGTATAAACCAGTGCTTCCCAAAATATGTTTTGTGGTCAGATACATACTTCTGAGAGATACAGGTATTAACAAAGTTAAATAGGCTTTTTTTTTTTGTCTATTGATACAGTGAATTACATTGATTTGCTGATGTTGAATCAGCTTGGCATTTATGGGATAAATCCCATTTGATCATGATATATTTTCTTTTTAAATACTGATAGATTCGGGGCCAGCAGTTGGCATAATGGCTATGTTGCTGGACTCCCATGTAGTTTACTGTGGTTCGAGTCCTGGACCTGGTGGTTTAAACTCATCCTGGGCGTGCATGTGTGTGCCTAAGATCCCAAGAGGAGAATGAAGGAAAAGGGATTGCGGTGTGGCCATTCCCCCTGGGGGAGTGATTTCTGGCTTTCTGTCTCTCCGTCTCTCTCTTTCTGGTGAGTGCACACACCATATAGCAAAAACCTCTCAAAAAAAAAAAGAAGTGATAGATTCAATTGTTAGTATTTTGTTAAGTACTTTTGCATCTATATTTATGAAGGCCATGGTTTTGCAGTTTTTTTTTTTTTCTTAATGACTTTGCTAATGGTGGCCTTGTATTAATAGAATGAACTGGAGGACCAGCAGATGGTGTAATGGTTACACCTCTGGACTCTCAGGTAGACGACCACAGTTCGAGTCCTGGTCCCAGCAGCTTAAACTCACGTCAGGCATGTGTGCATGTGTGCTCAAAATCTTGAGAAAAGAAAGGAGAAGAAGGGATTGTAGCATGACCATTTCCTTGGGGGTGATTTTTTTCTTTCTGTCTCCAGCGAGCGCAAGCAGCCTATAGCAAAAATCTCTAAAAAAAAAAAAAACTGCTGGGAAGTGTTCGTTCCTCTTGCTTCCTGGAAGAATTTGTCTAGATTTGGTGTCCTTTAAGTGTTTGGTAAAATCTAATGTCACCTGCATGTATTTTCTTTTTGGAAAAGTTTTTAACCACAAATCCAATTTCTTTAATAGACATAGGACTATTCAAGTTATTTATTCTAATGAGCTTTGGTAGTTTGTGTCTTTCAAGAAATTTCTGCATTTTATCTAAGTAATCTAAATCATGGTAGTCTCTTACTATCTTATTTTAGTTTCTTTAGAGTATGTAGTGATGTTCCCTCTCTGATTCCTGGTACTGGTTATTTGTGTCCTCTGTTTGCCTTCTTCTTGATCAATCTGGCTAAAGGTTACCAATTTTATTGATATTTTCAAAGAATGAACTTTGGTTTCTTTGATTTTTTTCTATATGTATTTTTTTGTTTTTAATTTCATTGGTTTCTGCTCTTACTTTTTATTGCAGAGGACATGTGCACTCACTAGAGAGAGCAACAGGGAGAGAGAGAGAAGCCCTCAGTGGGGCATGATCACACTGTAATCCTCTTTCATTCATTCCTCCTTCCCAGCAGAATTTTGAGCACAAGCACACAGGTACCTGGTGTGCTTTTCAAGCCACTGTAGTTGGCCATGTGGCCCTTAACTATTATGCTGTGGAGTTAGCCTTCTATTATTTTTTATGATGTCATTCTTGCTCCTTGCTTTTAGGTTTAACTTGCTTTTTTTTCTAGTGTTTTACCATAGGCTTTATTTACTTATTATTTTTAGAGAGAGATTTTTGCCATAGAGTGCATGTGTTCGCTGGAGAGATGGAGAGACAGAAAGTGAGAAATAACCCCCCCCCGGCGGGAATGGCCATACTGCAGTCCCCTCTCCTCCATTTTCCTCTGGGGATTTTAGGCATACACGCACTTATGCCTGGTATGAGTTTGAAGCCCTTGGGTCTGGGCCTTGAACCACGGTCAACCACATGAGAGTCCAGTGACGTAAACATTACGCCATCTGCTGGGCCCCAATATGGACTTTATTTAAGTGGAGACTTCTAATGATGATTTACTCCCCAGATAGGCATATCTGATTTCCATTTGCTCTATGTAGTTTTTTCCTATATGAACTTTAGAGTAAAAGCTTTTTTTTTAAAAATAATTATTTATTTAATTTTATTTATTCATTCATTCATTTTAATTTGACCAGAGAGAGAGAGACAGAGAGAGAGTGAGAGGGAAAGTGAGAAAGCAAGCCACCAGGTCTGGTATTTGAACCGCAGTCGGCCATGTGGGAGTGTCCAGTGCCTTAACCACCATCCCACCCGCTGGTCCCCTAGACTAAAAAAGCTTTAGAGACATGACAGATCTCAAAATAGCAAATACAGAAATCTTAATTATAATCAGAGACATAATCCTTCCTTAATTTATTGTGTGTACTTTTACCCATCAGAGACACTGCTTTTTTGAATACAGCAAGTATAGGAAAATAAGAACGTTATACAGTATTGGGTATAATGTATCCGTGGTGACTTTGGACCTTAATAACATGGCCCTTAATAACATATCTTTACTAATTCTGGACTGGTTTTTCTTCAGTTGCTGTGCCATTCTCACTGTGCATATTTTAGTCCGTGCAAATTCGAGTTTGGAACTTGCCCTGTCATTTTAAGTAAAAACAAGTTTCTACAAGCCTATTGTTGATGTGCTAATTTATTTAGTTGTCTCTTTAATGAAATGTTTTGAAAGTTTTTGAAATGTCTATCCTTGTAGCACTGAGTTGATCTTCAGACCACTAATTCATCTTTTAAAATATTTATTTTTTTAGATTTATTTTTATTAAGGCATAGTTACATACAATAAAAGATACAAATCTTAAGTATAAGCTCACTAAAAAAATCGAAACTACCACTTCTGTCAAGATCCTAAAAGAATTTATTAGTGCTTTGGGGATAGTAAAAGGTTGATCTTTTTACTATATTTTACCTTCATTAGAAATCTTTATGTATATACCAAGTGTTCTTTTAACCAGCTGACTATAAAACTAAGGAAAATCCAGGAAAAAAGACTCCCTCCTCCATCCAAAAAAAGGGAAAGATTTGTAGAATAGTAGTATTTCTGAGGAATGGCTTGAGGGTTTTTCTATGCTTGATTTATAAGGATAGGTAATTTTTTAAATACAAGATTTTAGATGATAAAGAGTTGATGTGGATAACACCTAACAGTTTTGTAGAGGTTCAAATGTGGTAAAATGGCTTAATTAAGAGAGATTTTACTTAATATTGGAAAGACCTTTTAGACATTTATTTTGCTGCTAAAATCCTAAAATGTAAAAATTGTATGACATCAGAATGAATGGCTAACTTTAAGAAAAAAAAATCCGTAATGTTTTTAATTGCCTAGAGACAGGTTTAGACTTGTCCTTCTAGCTGAAGAAATAGAAGATTCTGTGACCCATTTCTGATGGCACTGGAACATCCACTTGGTCATGTCTTGAGTTTGGTTTTATTTTCTTTGTCTAGAAGATTAAGATTGCGGCCCTGCGCATGTATACTAGCTGTGTGGAGAAAACTGACTTCGAGGAATTCTTTCTAAGTAAGTTATTATTTGATGGTTCCAAAAAAGAAAATGAATCGTTTGTTTATTTTTATGATTATATTTTAACAGTTTAGCTTTTTTAAGGTCAATAGTAAAACAGTTTTTCTTGTACAGAGTGTATTATATAAGCTATTTTTCTGCTTTAATAGAATAAACAAAGGCCAGAAGAACCCTATAAATAAAACTTTTTTTTTTTTTTTTTGAGAGGTTTTGGCTATAGGGCGCATGCGCTCGCCAGACAGAGACAGAGAGACAGAAAGCGAGAAATCACCCCCCAGGGGGGATGGCCACGCCGCAATCCCTTCTCCTCCATTCTCCTCTCGGGATCTTGGGCACGTACGCACACACGCCTGGGTGAGTTTTAAGCCACTGGGGCTGGGACGCGAACCACAGTCGACTGTGGGAGTCCAGCGACATAGCCATTACGCTAACTGCTGGTTCCCAACAATTTTTAAAGTTTTTTTTTTTTTCAAAGTAAAAACTTGTCTAGTATTTTTACATTATCATCCCTCTTGTTTGCATATATATGTATATGGCACATGCACTTGCGAGAGAGAGAAAGAGAGAGAGAAAACAGCCCCCTTGGGGGATACCCATACTACAATCCCTTCTCCAATCTCCTCTTGGGATTTTGAGTATGCATGCATACGTGCCCAATGTGATTTTCAAACTGCTGTGTCTAGGACTCAAATCGTGCAGCCAACCATGTGGGATATAGCACCTTATCCTCCACTGCAGGCCCCACACATTCATCTTCTTTTTCTTATTCTTTTTTTTTTTTTTAAGAATTATTTAATTTATTATGTTTTTAATTTGCTATAGGGTGTGCATACTTACTAGATGGGGAGAGAGAGAGAAAATGAGAAAGCAAGCTGCCAGGTCTGGGACTCGAACCACAGTCAGTCATGTGGGAGTGTGGAGTCCTAAGCACCATGCCACCTGTAGCCCCCACTTGCATCATCTTACATAAGAGTACTCTTAGTAAACACATCCAGTCTTACATTATGGATGTTTCTTTTTAATCACCAGAGGGCATGTGTATTTGCCAGAGAAAGAGAAAAAGAGAGAGAGGGAGAGAGCACCCCTACTGGGATGTAGTCATGCTACAATCAGTTCTCCTCCAGGTCCCATGTCTCTGGGATTTTGGGCGCACACACATACCTAGGTCAGCAGGGCTGAGATTCAAATCGCAAGGTCAGCCATGTGGGAACTGGCTCCTTTAACCACTAGGACATGGGGTTGACCCTGCTTCTAGTTATTAATTGTTTTAATCCCAGAATAAGTTTTATGATTTTTCTTCTTTCTATGAAAGGATTATTGGGTCAAAAGGCACATATAATTTTATTATTTATGCCATATTGATACAGTGCTTCCCAATAGGGTTTTACTGGTTTAGACCACTTCATTGTATCAATACAAAATTTATTTTGATCCTGTAAACAATTGTACTTATTAACAAATTTAATTAAAGTAGTAAAGTTATTAGGAGAACGTAAACCAATTTTTTTTTCTCTTTCTTTTTTTAGGTTTTTGTCTTAGGGTGTCTGTACTTGCTGGAGAGAGAAACAGAGAGAGGAAAAGTGAGAAATCATACTCCAGGGGGGACGGCCATGCTACTACAGTCCCTTCTCTTCTGTTCTCCTCTTGGGAATTTGGACATGCACACACATGAGCCTGGCATGATTTTCAAGCCACAGGGTACGAGACTCGAACCATCAATTGTGTGGGAGTCTATTGCCTTAACCACCATGCCACCAGCTGGCTCCCAGCCTCTCTCTTTCTCTTTAATATTTTGTTAAAGAATTGTTTATTTAATTATATTACTATTATTATTATTTTTACCATGAATCAAATTTTCCCACAAAGGGAATTTTATTGATTACTTTATTCCCTCACAAAAAGACCAACTGTGGGAACCAGCAGTTAGCGTAATGGCTATGTCGCTGGACTCCCACGTAGTCGACGGCAGTTTGCCAGTCGGGACCCGGTGGCTTAAAACTCACACCAGGTGCATGTGCGTGTGTGACCAAGATCCTGAGAGGAGAATGGAGGAGAAGGGATTGCGGCGTAACCATCCCTCCTGGGGGGGTGATTTCTCGCTTTCTGTCTCTATGTCTCTCTCTGTCTGCCCCATAGCGAAAACCCCCCCAAAAAAAAAAAAAAAAAGACCAACTGTAATCAAATGAGGTGAACATTCATCTCAAGATTTTGTCATCTTCGGAACCAGCAGATGTGTAATGACTACATTCCTGGACTCCCACATAGTCAACCGTGGTTTGCGTCTCGGACCCAGTGGCTTAAACTAATGCCAGGTACTTGTCTGTGCATGCCTAAGATCCCAAGTGGAGAAGGGATTACGGTGGCCATCCTCCCTATAGGGTGATTTCTCGCTTTCTGTCTCTCTCTGTCTTTCTGGCGAGCATACACACCCTATAGCAAAAATCTCTCTCAAAATAACAAAACAAAACAAAAAGATTTTGTTGTCTTTATAATAAAACAAAAGATGAAGCCTACAACTGGATCAGTTGGCCCTTTCTCTTCTTATCTCCTCCCAGTTCAAAATGCTCGCATCTCTTAATAGCCAGCATTCTCTTAGATCTGCAGTTGAGCTCGATACATTCAATCCTCAGCACAATCTTCTTTGTAGTTTTTGCCTTTTTCTAGAAAACAGGCTTAGTCTGTCCACCACAGCTGCTCTGCTTCCTGTCATAATGCCGCTTTCCCTGAGCATACAGAGAATCCTTGCCCTTTTTGTACTGTGTCACTTTCTGAGGTTGGTGCTTGCCACACTTCTTACAGAAAAGTTTGGCAGGTTGGTTTTTTTTTTTTTTTTTTTTTTTTTTTTTTTTTTT